GGGGGGGGGGGGGGGGGTGACTAACAAAGCATAATCCTACCTCAAGTTTTTGAAGTTTGATTAAGAATATTTTCTGGTATTAGATGTATGTTTGAAAGGACATTTTGTGGCTTTAATTTTACCCCGAAATGGTCGGATTTGTGACGAAAAATATATAATCAAACTGTACATTCTCCAACACGATTATACATGGTATTAGAGCATGTAAGTCTATTAACAAAAAGAATTTTCACGAAAAAGAATTAGCCGCCCACGTGAGAAGGTTTATTAAAGAGTACTTTAACTCATGAGAACGGCAATGTAAAAAAGAATTTTTACATTATTAAGTCACTTTTACGTAAAATGCTTTATTTCCAAGATTACAAATACCAAAATTTTATGAAGAATACATGTAAATGTCTTTTGGATGATATGATTAATGATAGTATAAACATATCTTTTGTGACGACCCAAAGGGTCATCACCGGACTTTTCCCTATTTCCGAGCTTCCGAGGCCTTGAAAACCTCGCTTTTGGTTGCCTCGATTTGCGTGCGCAGTCCGGGCGCGAAGCCGGAAAGCTTTTATGTTGAAATATGTGAACTTTGTGAAAAATTTGAAGAATTTTGATATTAATATTGCTAAAGTTGACTTTGGTCAATATTTTTGGTAAACAGACCCGGACCCGTGATTTGGCGGTACCGGAGGGTCCGTAGAAAAATATGAGACCCGGGCATATGCCCGGAGTCGAATTTCGAGGTCGAGAGCCCAAGAAATGAATTTTTCTGTGAAATTGTTTTTCTGAAATTCTTAAGGAAAATGGAAATAAAAATTGATTAAAAGACTATGGTATCGGGCTCGTATTTTGGTTCCGACGCCCGGTACAAGTCTTAAATATGTGTTAAGCGCTTTCTGTAAAGTTTGGTCGGAATCGGACGTCATTTGACGTGTTTCGGACCTAAATATCTAAAGTTAGAAGTTTAAGAAGTTTGAAATGAAAATGATAATTTTGAGGCTTGATTCATGGATTTTGATGTTATTTAGGCGATTTGGTCGCACGGTTAAGTTCGTAGGATGTTGTTGAGTTAGTCCATGTGTTGGGTTAGGAGCCCCAAGGGCTCGGGTGTGATTCGGATGTATTTTGAGATGGTTTTAGCCTTAGGAATGCTGCAGAAAACTGCTGTTGCTAGTGTCTGCGATCGCATACATTCTTCTGCGATCGCGTAGGGTTAATTGATCAGGCCCATTTTCTGTTCTATGCGATCGCATGAACTCCTCTGCGATCGTGTACCTTAGCCCCTTCATTCTTTGCGATCGCATTAAGCTTCCGCGATCGCATTTCATTAAACCAACCCCGGTATGCATAGCCCCTTTTCTTCTATGCGTTCGCATGACCTATTCTGCGATCGCAGTGGTCAATTTTCCCCTCCCCTATGCGATCGCAAGCCTCCTTCTGCGATCGCATAGAGTAAATATGCCCAGTTATATTTTTATGTCCAGAACAGTAGCAGCACGGGATTTCTCATTTTTTTTTTCACACGAGCTCTTCTCTTAAACCCTCCATAGACGAAATTCAAGCTCTCCTTCCTCCATAACTCTTTGGGTAAGTAATCTTAACATCATTCCCTCATTATTTCTTCATCTAATTACTAATTTTCTAGCCCTAAATCATGAAATCAAAGTAGAAATTAAGGATTTTGGGTAGAGTTAGGTTTTTGGGAATTATGGGTGATTCAACCTCAATTTGGGGTCGAATCTTGAAATAAATTATATATTTGAACTCGTGGGGTTATGGGTGATTGGGTTTTGGTCCGAGCCTCGTGTTTGGACCATGTGGGACCGGTGTCGAATTTTGGTGTTTTGGGAGAATGGTTGGAAAATTCATTTCTAGGCTATGGGATTATGTTTTTGAGCCCTTATTGATATTATTGAACTAATTATGCCTAGATATCATTGTTTCGGAGTTGGATTGTAGAGGAAATGCGGTATTAGAGAGTTGATTGCTATTCTTGGACCGAGGTAAGTGTTTGTTCTAACTTTGGCTTGAGGGAATAGGATTAGGATGTTAATTGCTACTTGCTAAATGTGGAGTACGGTGTATAGGCATGGTGACGAGTATCTATACATCGGCGTCTAGCATGACCATGAGTCTTAATTGCTTTTAATTCGAATGATGTGACACCACTACCTTGTCTAATGAATAAATTTCATATAATGTGAACGGTTGAGGAAAAATTGTGATTGGTATATTTTGGAGCGTTGGCTCGAACAAGAATGTGATAGTTGAGAAAGAAATGATTCAAAAGAGGATGTGTTGTGATTATTCCTTGCCGGGACGTATAGACTATTATTATGTACTCTCCCTTGTCGGGATATTTGGGCTGTTAGCTGTACCCTTGCCGGGTTAAGGTGTTATGTTGTCGAGTTCCCCTAATGGGACCTTCTTTACATAGTCAGATATTTTGAATTATAATATGGGATATATTTTGAATTATAATATGGGATCGTGTGGCACGCCGACCACTTATATATTATGAAATGGGATCGTGTGGCACGCCGACCACTTATATACTATAATATGGGATCGTGTGACATGCCGACCGCTTATTTACTATGAAATGGGATCGTGTGGCACGCCGACCACTTATTTACTATGAAATGGGATCGTGTGGCACGCCGTCCACTTATGAATTAAGAAATGGGATCGTGTGGCGCACCGACTACTTATATATATGAGCTATGATATTGAGATAGTTTCGTCGTTATATCCATTGATCTGTATTCGCTGTATTTTTCCCGAGCATGCCCCCTTCCCCTTTTTAGTTGATATTCTCTGTTGTTATTTTCTGTTGCCTTGTATATATTTATCTGCACAGGTTGTTTTTGGTAGGCCCTGTCTAGCCTCGTCACTACTTCGCCGGGGTTAGGCCAGGCACTTACCAGCACATGGGGTCGGTTGTGCTGATGCTACACTTCTGTGCTTTTTGCACAGATCATAGTACCGGAGCAGGAGCCTTTGGTCAGCAGTAGGAGCGTTGGGAGCTTACTTCAGTCCGAAGATTCCGAGGTAGCTTGCTGGCGTCCGCATGGCCCGGAGTCTCTCTTATCTCTGCTTTTCGTTTGATTTCCCTTGTATCGGATCAGACAGTACTGTATACTCATTCAGACTTCGTATTTAGCATTCAGTAGAAGTTCGTGAGTTAGTGATACCAAATCTGGGTAGAGGTGTATGTGAATTCCGTACTTGGATTCTGTTATTTATGTTTCGAGATTTCCGCTTTTATGTTAATTGCCTCGTTCTTCTTTATTTTGCTAATGATAATGAGAAAAGTGTTAAATTAATTGGCTTGCCTAGCTCCTATCAGTAGGCGCCATCACGACTCCCGAGGGTGGGAAATCCGGGTCGTGACATCTTTATATTGTTGGTGTATATAAGTTAAGCTCAAGATGTGTAGAGAGAGCAGCTCGGAGCAGAGGAAGAAGCAACATTAGGAATTTAGGTCCAGACTAATTACTGTAATTAGAGAATGATTATCTCCTCATTTGAAGCATTTACAAGAATTCTTTTTATACTTAAAAGGAAAAAAGGATGGGGAACTTTAATGAATGTCCGGGGCCTGCTAGTTTGAATGGGGATATGAATCATTTCAGAACAAACTTTGGAGGTTCAAAAGCTTTGCCTACCATTTTCTATGTCATTGTCATGGAATTTATTTAAAGATAAAAAGAAAGAATATTGGTGATAAAAATGATTCTTACAAAGTGGAGGGTGCTCAAAAGAAGGAACATATTCCTTATCATTTCTGCTGTATCTTATTTTAAATTCCATTTTGATTCCATAAGAAAACCCTTTTCTCCAAGTTGTTTAACATACTTGGCCAAATCTCATGTCCCACAATATGTTACTATAATATTTTTTGACATAA